ATTGTGCTGACTTCACAATAGGAACTTTACTCAGAAAACATCTAAAACCAAAATTCATTGTTATAAAAGCATTTGATGAATCGATCGTTGAAAGGATGTCTTGCACTTCTTAAAAATATTGTCAAATAAAAACTATCAGTTTTGTCTTCAAAATACATTTAAGTTATAATTAATATTAACTTTATAAAAAACTTGTTAAGGCATATATTAATACAATCTCTATAAAAAGTTTGTTAAAAATGTTAATTATTGAAATATTTCCTGTTTTTTTTTTGTTTGTTTTTATGCATTCGTGTATGCCTTAGACAAAAATTGGGCTATATTTAAGGTTATATCCCTTTACACTGGTAAAAAAAAATTCTGCACAAGCAATATAACGAGGAAAACAGTAACAGTAGTAACACCACTCCGATTCTCTTTTTATTCTCAACATTGCAATATTTTGATCGTTGATTATTAAAATCATATCGGGTATACGGTTTATGAAACTTTTCGAAAAAAATGAATGTATTGTACCTAAGTAAGATGACAATGGGTTTATTGTATGTTTTTTTTTTTTTTTTTTTTGCAGCCCCGAGGGTCGTGTCTTTGTGTTTGGTCGAAGTGGTGACGTCATTTCTAGAGGTAAAAACATGTTAAATGGGAATGTACACAAAAGTGTGTCTTATGCCCCGTTAAAGATAGATGCATTTATCTCAGACATATATTTTAGGCATTTGACTAACCTGCCCTAAATGTACTAATTTAACTTAATATTTTAGGAATTGTACTTACCCTTATATTTTAGACATTTCACTAATATCCCATTACATTTTAGACATCGAACTAACCGAACCTAATATTTAAGGAATTGTACTAACATCCCATAATATTTTAGGCATTGTACTAATATCCACTAATATTTTAGACATTGTACTAATATCCCATAATACTGTAAGTATTGTACTAACTTACCCTAATATTTTAGACATTTCATTAACATCCCTTAATATTTTAGAAATTTCATTAACATCCCTTAATATTTTAGACATTCCACTGACATCCCATAATATTTCAGACATTGTACTAAAATCCCATAATATTTTAGGCACTGTACCAACCTAATATTTTAGGCATTGTACTAAGATCCCATAATATCTAGGCATTGTGCTAACATACCATAATATTTTAGGCATTTTCTAACCTAACCTATTATTTTAGTCGGCATTTTAGGCATTGACATTGTTCTATTATCCCTTAATATGTAAGACATTTCACTAACGTCCCATAATATTTTAGGCATTGTACTACCATCCCATAATATTTTAGGCATTGTACTAGCATCCCATAATATTTTAGGCATTGTACTACCATCCCATAATATTTTAGGCATTGTACTAACATCCCATAATATTTTAGGCATTGTACTAACATCCCATAATATTTTACGCATTGTACTAACATCCCATAATATTATAGGCATTGTACTAACATCCCATAATATTTTAGGCATTGTACTACCATCCCATAATATTTTAGGCATTGTACTAACATCCCATAATATTTTAGTCATTGTACTAACATCCTATAATATTTTAGGCATTGTACTAACATCTCATAATATTTTAGGCATTGTACTAACATCCCATAATATTTTAGGAATTGTACTAACATCCCATAATATTTTAGGCATTGAACTAACATCCCATAACATTTTAGGCATTGTACTAACATCCCATAATATTTTAGGCATTGTACTAACATCCCATAATATTTTAGGCATTGTACTAACATCCCATAATATTTTAGGCATTGTACTAACATCCCATAATATTTTAGGCATTGTACTACCATCCCATAATTTTTTAGGCATTGTACTAACATCCCATAATATTTTAGGCATTGTACTAACATCCCATAATATTTTAGGCATTTTACTACCATCCCATAATATTTTACGCATTGTACTACCATCCCATAATATTTAAGGCATTGTACTAACATCCCAAAATATTTTAGGCATTGTACTAACATCCCATAACATTTTAGGCATTGTACTAACATCCCATAATATTTTAGGCATTGTACTAACATCCCATAATATTTTAGGCATTGTACTAACATCCCATAATATTTTAGGCATTGTACTAACATCCCATAATATTTTAGGCATTGTACTAACATCCCATAATATTTTAGGCATTGTACTAACATCCCATAATATTTTAGGCATTGTACTAACATCCCATAATATTTTAGGCATTGTACTAACATCCCATAATATTTTAGGCATTGTACTACCATCCCATAATATTTAAGGCATTGTACTAACATCCCAAAATATTTTAGGCATTGTACTAACATCCCATAATATTTTAGGCATTGTACTAACATCCCATAATATTTTAGACATTGTACTAACATCCCATAATATTTTAGGCATTGTACTAACATCCCATAATATTTTAGGCATTGTACTACCATCCCATAATATTTTAGGCATTGTACTAACATCCCATAATATTTTAGGCATTGTACTAACATCCCATAATATTTTAGGCATTGTACTACCATCCCATAATATTTTACGCATTGTACTAACATCCCATAATAGTTTAGGCATTGTACTAACATCCCATAATATTTTAGGCATTGTACTAACATCCTATAATATTTTAGGCATTGTACTAACATCCCATAATATTTTAGGCATTGTACTAACATCCCATAATATTTTAGGCATTGTACTAACATCCCATAATATTTTAGGCATTGTACTAACATAGCATAATATTTTAGGCATTGTACTAACATCCCATAATATTTTAGGCATTGTACTAACATCCCATAATATTTTAGGCATTGTACTAACATCCCATAATATTTTAGGCATTGTACTAACATCCCATAATATTTTAGGCATTGTACTAACTTACCCAGCGTGGGTCGAGAAACCAATCAGCTCTCACCCGGAAGTACTCGAGATCATGGCGGTTCCGGTCCCAGACGACATCAACGTGGAGAACATCTGCGCATGCGTGGTCAAAAAACCCGGAAGTGATCTGACGGAGACGGCCGTGAAGCAGCTGGTCAAAGACAGCATGACGTCAGATGGCTCCTATTACATCACCGTCGATCACGTGATGTTCTTCGATGAGGTCCTCCCCAAACTGTCCAGGAAAAAACTTGGCCAGCTGGCCGCTGTTCGACTTGGCTTGTTGGCCATCTGATTGTTGGCCATCTGATTGTTGGCCATCTGATTGTTGGGTATCTGATTGTTGGCCATCTGATTGTTGGCCATCTGATTGTTGGCCATCTGATTGTTGGCCATATGAAATATAAAAGATCTGTATCAAGGTTTACATAATCAGAAATATAAAAGACCTGCATTAATGTTTATATAACCTAAATAGTTCATAATAAATTGATAAACTATGTTTTTTTATAAAAAAAAAGGTAACCAGTTACATCACAGCGTTGAAGGGGAAATAACCGCGTTAAATATTTGTACTTATAGTAACTATGAGTAGCTGCGCTTGATTTTTTTATTAAAGTTAGACAAATTGGTAATGCTTGAAAATAAATGAAAATGTTATGTCTAGACTTAGGAGTAAATAGAAGAATAAAAATTCGGGAGGCATTCTTTTAATATTAACATCAATTAATTTTGTATATGTATATATTTATACCACCTTACATCGCTACTCACACTCGTTGGTTGAGTACTTCACGTGTGGTCCGCACGTGTGAGTGAGAACATATCCCGGCATGTCGCCGCGATGTCAACGGACGGCATGACCTAGTTTCACGGAAGTCATCGAGATTCCAGAGCTGTCATGTCTGTGTCAGTGACATAATGCCGCGTGCCACTTGTCACTCGTGTCATGAGATTTATTTTTGCCCCTCCGTGAAAGTGTCACATCCGTGTTTTTATATCGCTCGTGTCTGACGGTCACTTACAAGCTATCAGAGAGTATTGCATCAGAGGTGTTTGTTATATATAGTTTATCATAAGGGTTTGCAGCATTTCACCGGTTGAGGGTTTAATACTTTTTGGAGACAAATACGACAGCAAGGCTTTATACTCGTTTTGTTTTAACATTATTTTTAAATTTCTTTAATGGCTTATAGCAAGCGTGGTCAGACAGAAGAGCGTGCTGTTGATTATTCCAGAATTTCAGAGTTCGAACCCCGGGAATAATTATGAGGCTTGTTAGCTGGTGACTGCAACCCATCTAAGAGGGAAAAATCCTAACTTAACTCCTGCTTTTAGGTATTGTGCTAACCTACCCTAATCCAAACTTAACTGTTGTGTTTACTAACCTACCCTAATCCAAACTTAACTGTTATCTTTAGTAGTATGGTATTAACCTACCCTAATCCAAACTTAACTGTTGTCTTTACTAACCTACCCTAATCCAAACTTAACTGTTGTCTTTAGTAGTTTGGTATTAACCTACCCCAGTTCAAACTTAACTGTTGCCTTTACTAATCTACCCTAATCCAAACTTAACTGTTGTCTTTAGTAGTATGGTATTAACCTACCCTAATCCAAACTTAACTGGTGCCTTTACTAACCTACCTTAACCAGTGTCCACCCTCTCTCCCTCTTGAAGTGAAATAAATGTCTGAAAGTAACGCTGAGTATGATTTAGTGGGCGTATATCCGGTCTAGCCTGTGCTCGAACCCCCAGACTTCAAGTCAACCTCTGCACGTAGCTACCCACAGGTTTTCTCAGTCATTTTTACCCCGTGAGGGGAGGGGGAGAGTAATTAAAATTTCAGGGGGTAAGGTAGGGTTGACACTGGTTAAAGTATACATTTTCAATATAAATGCCTGAAAGAAACTCTGGTTACCCAACCGTTTTATTTTCTCAACGCATGCAGACGTTGTTTTTTTTTTCAAAGCCATATGATGCGTTTTTGAAATCAACCTTAGAAAATGAACTCATTAACCCGTAATTACATCTCTGTCATCATGGTATGTGTGACGTCAGATCCGCATCCTGGACGAGGAACTCCGAGAGGTCGGTGCCGGAGTGTCAGGAACCATAGTCATCAGGTCACCGACCCTTTTCACGCGCTACGTCGGAGAGCCGGACCGGACGGACGCCGTCTGGTGGAAGGACGGATGGTTCATATCCGCGGATGCTGGGTATTTGAGGTGTGTGTCACTATCAGTGCTTCTTTCAGACTTTTATCTCCGGAGGCGGGGGGGGGGGGGGGGGCTTGAAACTTTAGGGGGGTTGGCGACCAGTGTTTCTTCTAGCCTTTTTTTTTCTCCGGGGGAGGGACTGTGTAAATTAATTTTCAGAGGGTGGGTCCAAAATTTCCGGGGAGGGGGGGGGGGGGCTGAAACTAGTCGTAACTGGTTAAAGTATGTATTTTCTCTATGATACTTTATAATTTTTCTTCTATTTTGTCCTGAGAAGGGGGAGGGGGTGTTCTCTGATCCGTTTAGTGGTGATAGAGGATCGTGCACTTACTGTATAACATTATAAAATGTATTTTTAAAAGACAACGGTTATAATAAAAATGAGGTAGCATTAATACCCATTTAGGACTAATTTTTATACCTAAAAGCAAGATAATCTTTTGCGAATTATCTGTTTTAAAACTTTGGCTTATTGTTTAATGTCTTCCTAAGTGAAATTTTAGAAAAACAATCTCTTAATATAGCCTACATTGTAATTTATTTTTCCACCAAAATGTATACATCACTACACTGGTGTTACTCTCTTCCTCGTAATATTGCTTGTGCTGATTATTTTTTACTATTGTAAAGGGATATAACCTAAAATATAGTCCAATTTTTGTCTAAGGCATTCATAAAGTCATAAAAACAAAACAAAAACAAGAAATATTTCAATATTTAACATTATTAACAAACACTTTGTAGAGATTGTATCATTATATGCCGAAATTTTTTTTTATAAAATTAATATTTATTATAACTTAAACTTATTTTAAAGACAAAAGTAATAGTGTTTATTTGACAATATTTTTAAGACTTGCGAGACATTCTAATCTTCTGCAATTAGTTCATTACGACTATAGTGTTGACAGATTTTACTTTTACTTTCATGGATCTAGATCTAGATCCAGATCTATCTACCATAAATTTGACGTGTGTTTGCACACTTAATATTGGTACCTATGTGCCGAAGTCGTTGAGAGGAGTTCATTAGACAAATTATTAGCAGTCAACATCATCTCCTGTATGAAAATTACGGCATAGCAAACATGTGTTTCTTATCATTACAGTTTCTTTCAGGCATCTCTTCCCCACACCCCAGCAGACAGCCCACCGCCCTTCCCCCCCCCCTCCCCAACTAAAATAGAATTTATATAAAAAATATATACTTTAACCATTTAGACAGACAAGCCGTCAACCATATTATTTTTAAACCTGATAGTCTATGGTGCTAGTGAAGTAGAGTTCTCGTGTTTGTGTGACCTCGACATATGAAGAGTTTGTGTGGTCAGGACTATATGCCCAACAGCCTTTACTTTCCCTAACGTGAGCTAGGTACCCATTAGAGCTGGGTAGACTCATACTGAATTGTTAAGACACAGCAATAAAACATACTCATAGCCAATCCAGATAGAAAACATGCACGCCAACACATTTCCTCCACACAACCACAGCAACCACCCACAACAATCACCCACAGCAACCACCCACAACAATCACCCACAGCAACCATCCACCGCAACCAACCACACCTGAAACAACCACACAACCACCACCACCACAACAATTACATCCGCTGTTTCGAACGTAAATACAACACAGTCAGACACCTCCAGCCTTAATGTCACCAAGCACGACCAACGCCACACCCCCCCCCCCTCACCTTTTCCTCCAGACGAACGAAATAACCCCCTCCCCTACCCCCATGGAGATAATGTCTGTGTTCAAATACTGTAAAAATGATGTACTGTGAATACCAGTGGCGTAGCGAGGTCGGGTGTCACCCAGTGCGGCACTTAATGCTGTCACCCCCCCCCCCCTTTTCAATTTTCGATTTGCACCCACTCCCCCCCCCCCCCCCACCCCTCTCCCCTCAAACTTTCGATTTGCACCTCTTAAAACACTATTTAACACTCAAATTAATCACTTAATTAAGTGGAATTATTTTTTTTTCTGTATATATTTTGCTATTTTTTGACTTGGTGCTGTCCGCACCCTCCGCCCCCCCCCCCCTTCACTAAGCCTCTGATTCATACCCATTTAGGGCTAATTTGTATACATAAAAGCAAGATAATCTTTTGCGAATTATCTGTTTTAAAACGTTGGCTTATTGTTTAATGTCTTCCTACGTGAAAGTTTAAAAAAAATCTCTCTATATAGCCTACATTGTAATTTATTTTTCCACCAAAATGTATATATCATTACGCTAGTGTTACTTTGTTTTCCTCGTAATATTGCTTGTGCTGAATATTTTTTAATATTGTAAAGGGACATAACCGAAAATATAGTCCAATTTTTGTCTAAGGCATTCATATATTCATAAAAACAAAACAAAAACAAGAAATATTTCAATATTTAACATTATTAACAAACACTTTGTAGAGATTGTATTATTATGTGTGGAACATTTTTTTTATAAACTTAATATTTATTATAACTTAAATGTATTATAAGGACTAAAGGAATAGTGTTTATTTAACAATATTTTTAAGACTTGCGAGACATTCTATTCTTCTCCCACTTAATAACTGCGGTTGTTGTGTTACAGATATTAATTTAACTTTGATGTCAAGGTGCGGCTCTTCTGCTCCATGTACAAATACTGATAATTATTTTATTTTATAACTCATAAAATTCTTAGTCTGCAACACTCGGTAATGAACAATATAATAATAAATATAAACAATAAACACTCGCTATTCTATTAGAATATTTACTTTCTCCATTTTTCAATGTGCTTCATTCTTTTCTAAAACTGAGTTATTACAATTTAAACATAGCCTGTGCTTGGATCATATTTATCGGGGCACGGGTTTACCTTCACTACGACCCAGCGCGCCATAGGGCGTGCTATATGAAAGCCTTGAGTTAAATCACTCACCGCCTAAGTGTCGGGACAGAGAGTGGCGCTCTTGTGAACCCGATTACACAATCGCAGGGGTGCCACGTTCAGCTCCTACATCGGTTTAATGTCGTGTGCCGCATTATCAATATTGTAGGGTCTCCTTAAAACTTACGTAAGCATGTAGTGATCGCGGGATAGCACTGGGCTCCAAATTACAGCCTGCAGAGACGCCGGAGGACGCGTATCGAATATAAACCTAGGCGACATGGTGTTCATGGGTAAACCTGGGGAGCCTGATTCGATAATTGTTGCTCATCGTGTCTTTACTGTATAGTCTTTTTTTTAACGAACGTAGACGCCATAGGGTTCGCAGGTGAGCCTGGGGCTCTTTGGGTCGCGCTATCGACGAGGTGCCGGCGGCTGCGCCTGTTGCAGTTTTGCCGCTGAATATAGTAGTACCCCTTACCCACTATGTAAGACGCCCGATTAAAGGATGCCGAGTGCTAACATATCCGCTCTGGAACTATGGGCGCCAAACCATGTATTGAAAGGTGTAGTAATGAATAAAAGACAATCAGACACACACACACACCTACATATATATATATATATATATATATATATATATATATATATATATATATATATATATATATACACCTTATCCTAATCAAAGGCCGTAATAGTAATATTGAAATTAAATGTTAGTGGCTCTTTAAAAGGTGGGAAATTTTGTAAATTGTGACTTTTGGCTCTTCTGTCTCAAAAGGTTGCCGACCCCTGATCTAGATCTATCTACCATTAATTTTGACGTGAGTTGGCACACTTAATATTGGTACCTATGTGCCGAATTCGTTGAGAGGAGTTCATTAGACAAATTATTAGCAGTCAACATCTCCTGCATGTAAATTACGGCATAGCAAACATGTGCTTCTTATCATTAGTTTCTTTCAGGCATCTCTTCCCCACACCCCCGAAGACAGTCTACCGCCCTTCACCCCAACTAAATAGAATTTATTTGAAAATATATACTTTAACCAGTGTCCACCCCCCCCCTGGTTAAAAGTCTGAAAGAAACACTGCTTATCATCGGATAGTTTCGATGTCACGACCATGCAGTGTCACGACAACACACGGCCCTTACACCATACACCTCACTAAACACGGGAAGGACGGTAGCACTGAAACCCATACATGGGCCCCTCATACACTCAGCAACAATTCACCCACCCATACATGGGTCCCTCATACACTCAGCAACAATTCACCCACTCAAAACCTGGGTCCCTCATACACTCAGCAACAATTCACCCACTCATACACGGGTCCTCATACACTCAGCAACAGTTCACCCACTCATACACGGGTCCCTAATACACTCAGCAACCTTACACCATACACGTCGCTTAACGGTAGCACTAAAATCCACACATGGGTCCCTCATGCACTCATCAGCAAGAGGTGGGATGTTTACTGGTGATAGAGGATCGTGCACTTACTGTAGAACAATTTAAAATGTATTTTTAGAAGAAAACGTTTATTACAACAGACTTTTAATTATGCGTTAAAAAGAAGAAAATAAAATGATTCTCTTATATATATATATATATATATATATATATATATATATATATATATATATATATATATATATATATATGTATGTATATATATATATATATATATATATATATATATATATATATATATATATATATATATATATATATATATATATATATTAAAAGGCATTTGGTCGAAACAGTTAGTATTTTTTTAAATGGAAATTACTAGGCACATCCTCAAAGATAAATATGCTACATAGAGTAATAAAGTATAGGGGTCTTTTTGTACAGATATGCACCGGAACTCCAACAATTTCTTTCAGGCATTTCTCTCTTTCCCCAACATCCGACGCACGTCCAACGACACCCTCCCTCCCCTCCGCCCCAACTTTCTCCTCCAGTCGAACGAAATAACCCACTCCCCCACCCCCATGGAGAAAAGTGTCTGTGTTTAAATACTGTAAAAATGAGGTAGCATTAATACCCATTTAGGGCAAATTTTTATACCTTAAAGCAAGATAATCTTTTGCGAATTATCTGTTTTAAAACTTTGGCTTATTGTTTAATGTCTTCCTAATGTGAAAGTTTAGAAAAAAAATATCTCTTAATATAGCCTAAATTGTTATTTATTTGTCACTACAAAAATGTATATATCATTACTCTGGTGTTACTTTGTTTTCCTCGTAATATTGCTTGTGAGGATTTTTTATTTTACTATTGTAAAGGGATATAACCTAAAATATAGTCCAATTTTAGTCTAAGGCATTCATGAATTCATAAAAACAAAACAAATACATGAAATATTTCAATATTTAACATTATAAACAAACACTTTGTAGAGTGTGTATTAATATGTGCCGTAACAATTTTTTTTATAAACTTAATATTAATTATATATTAAATGTATTATAAGGACTAAAGGAATAGTTTTTATTCGACAATATTTTTAAGACTTGCGAGACATTCTAGTTCATGGCATTGGAAATATGCTGTTACAGTGTTGAATGTTTTTACTTTATCTTTCATGGTTCTAGATCAGGGGTCGGCAACCAGCGGCTCGCGATCCGCATGTGGCTCTTTTGATAACAAGGTGCGGCTCTTCAGCTCCTTGAACAATTACTAATAATCTGAATAAAAAAATATAAAATATTCGAAAAAAATAATGTCAGTGGCTCTTTAAAACCAGGGAAATTTTGTAAATTGTAACTTTTGGATCTTCCGCTTCACAAGGTTGCCGACCCCTGATCTAGATCTATCTACCACCCCCCAACTAAATAGAATTTATATAGAAAATATATACTTTAACCAGTGTCCGCCCAACCCCCCCACCCCGGAAAAAAGTCTGAAAGAGACACTGCTTATCATCGGATAGTTTCGATGTCACAACCATGCAGTGTCACGACAACACACGGCCCTTACACCATACACCTCCCTAAACACGGGAAGGACGGTAGCACTGAGACACACACATGGGTCCCTCATACACTCAGCAACAATTCACCCACTCATACATGGGTCCCTCATACACTCAGCAACAATTTATCCACTCATACATGGGTCCCTTATACTTTCACCAACATTTCACCCACTCATACATGGGTCCCTCATACACTCAGCATCCATTCACCCACTCATACATGGGTCCCTCATACACTCAGCAACAATTCACCCACTCATACATGGGTCCCTCATACACTCAGCAACAATTCACCCACTCATACACTCAGCAACAATTCACCCACTCATACATGGGTCCCTCATACACTCAGCAACAATTCACACACTCATACAAGCACGAGGAATATTTAACAAAAAAAAAAAAACAACCAACCATCAACACCATCCCTCACACCTACAATCGCAGCAGCATCATTTAGACAGACAAGCCGTCAACCATCTTATTTGTTTTAACCTGACAGTCTATGGAGCTAGTGAAGTAGAGTTCACGTGTTTGTGTGACCTCGACATATGAAGAGTTTGTGTGGTCAGAACTATATGCCCAACAGCCTTTACTTTCCCTAACGTGAGCTAGGTACCCATTAGAGCTGGGTGGACTCACACTAAATTGTTAAGACAAAGCAATAAAACATCCTTGTAGCCAATCCATACAGAAAACACGCACGCCAACAAATTTCCTCCACACAACCACAGCAACCACCCACACCTTAAACAACCACACAACCACCACCACAACACTTACATCTTCTGTAACGAACGTAAATACAACACAGTCAGACACCTCCAGCCTTAATGTCACCACTGGTACAGCAACGCCAACAACAACAGCGACAACAAAAACCACACTACCACAGGCAGCAATGGAAACAGAAACAGAAACCATTTAAAAAAGAGGTCAGTCCTACCATAGAAAAAGAAAGACAACTAAACTAGGCTAAAACACAGCAGAAAATAAACCAACAGACACCACAGGCTCTAAACCAAGCTAAGCGGAAATCCTAAACAGCTACAGAAACTGTGTGAATGTAAACATTCATCAGCTATTAAAGCAGGTGACATCGGACTGTTGTCACATTGACCAACCGTCCCACTAGAACATAGACCAACCGTCCCACTAGAACATAGACCAACCGTCCCACTAGAACATAGACCTACTGTCTCACTAGAACATAGACCTACTGTCTCACTAGAACACAGACCTACTGTCTCACTAGAACATAGACCTACTGTCTCACTAGAGCATAAACCTACTGTCTCACTAGAACATAGACCTACTGTCTCACTAGAACATAGACCTACTGTCTCACTAGAACATAGACCTACTGTCTCACTAGAACATAGACCTACTGTCTCACTAGAACATAGATCTACTGTCTCACTAAATATAGACCTACTGTCTCACTAGAACATAGACCTACTGTCTCACTAGAACATAGACCTACTGTCTCACTAGAACATAGACCTACTGTCTCACTAGAACATAGACCTACTGTCTCACTAGAACATAGGCATACTGTCTCACTAGAACATAGACCTACTGTCTCACTAGAACATAGACCAACTGTCTCACTAGAACATAGACCTACTGTCTCACTAAATATAGACCTACTGTCTCACTAGAACAAAGACCTACTGTCTCATTAGAACACAGACCTACTGTCTCACTAGAACATAGACCTACTGTCTCACTAGAACATAGACCTACTGTCTCACTAAATATAGACCTACTGTCTCACTAGAACAAAGACCTACTGTCTCATTAGAACACAGACCTACTGTCTCACTAGAACATAGACCTACTGTCTCACTAGAACATAGACCTACTGTCTCACTAGGACATAGACCTACTGTCTCACTAGAACATAGACCTACTGTCTCACTAGGACATAGACCTACTGTCTCACTACAACATAGTCCTACTGTCTCACTATAACATAGACCTACTGTCTCACTAGGACATAGACCTACTGTCTCACTAGAACATAGACCTACTGTCTCACTAGAACATAGACCTACCGTCACACTAGGACTTTTAGCTATCGTCCCACTAGGACATAGTCCTGTCGTCTCTCAAGGACATATCCCATCCTAACGTCCCAGTTTCTCCAGGCTAGTTTCTCCAACTGGTCCCAGTATAAACCTATCTTGTGTCGCTCTCCGCGTTTTTCTTGGTCTGTCTCTTTTCTCAGCTCTTGACGTAAGGTCCATTTATAACAATGTTGGTGATCGGCTGAGTTTATTGTCGATCCATCTGTATGTTCTCTAACAAAGGCCTGTTGTCTTAGTAGGCCTTGACATAGGTCTTTAGTCACAATAGGACATAGGTATGTCGTTCTACTAGGACATAGGTCTTTAGTCACACAAGGACATAGGTATGTCCTTCTACTAGGACATAGGTCTTTAGTCACACTTGGACATATGTATTATTTCCCTTTAAGATTTTCTCCAACACGATTAAGTATTGCGTGTCAACCTGTTATGCGCCATGTCGGCCATTGATTCCGAATTAGCCAGCTTTTCTTGTTCAATTTTCTTCCATAGCCTTTGTCCATCCAGGAAAGAGCTACAAGTTTTTTGATTTTGGAGAATTTTCTCCTAGCTGGGTTGCTGCCCCCAACTATCGAGCTTCACCTGCCCGTGGGTTCGAACTCGGGACTTTTTGGTTTAGCAACAATGCTGGGCACATAGTGCTGACCTCACAATAGGAACTTTACTCAGAAAACATCTTTTTTTTTTTTTTTTTTTTTTTTTTTTTTTTTTTTTAATATCATACATACTTTTATTTTCTTAATATTTAGATTTGACAAACCAGAACTACAGCTCTTCTTATGACAATAGCAACTCCTTGAGAAATGCAACATTCAAATATCTTAAAAATTCCTATCTCTATCTGCCAATAAGTAATACTCTCAGAGTTAATACTACGACAATAGAATCATACATCATAGTTAAAAAAGTTACACTGAACAGCACAGTTACAGCAGCATGAATATTTAATACCCACTAAACACTCTAAAACTAATGCTGTTCCATTGAAACAAATTATCTTCTTACTAGCACAATCACCTGAAAGCTTCCTAATACACATATTCACAATTATAATTGCAGTGCAATCAAAAAGTCTTTAAAACATCTCATGGAAAACTCATGTAGTCTAGTCACAGAATCTACAGATCCTCATGTAACACTATGAACTTTGAATTGGCATCTTTTTAAGTAAGAATGAAACATCTTGTAAAGCCTTGCAAATCTGACATTCCTCTTATCAATAAAAGGGAAATATTCCACTTGTGAAGATGACATTTATTAAATGAAAATTTAAAATGGTCCATGGTTGTGGTGACAATATAAAAAAGGAAATAAAAATCTACACGGATTGGTGGTTGAACAACAATGATGAACAGTTCAAATGTACGCAGGACCCAAACAACATCAAATAAAATGAGCTTGAACACTAAAAGGGTGGTTATGCTGCCTTTTGAGACCCCTTCTTTCCTATCAGTGATTTGTGAATATGGGGAATAACACCACCACCAGCAATGGTAGCTTTGATTAGGGAATCCAACTCTTCATCTCCTCTGATAGCCAACTGCAAATGACGAGGTGTGCTACGTTTTACTTTCAAATCTTTACTAGCATTTCCAGCCAATTCCAGAACTTCAGCAGTCAAATATTCAAGAATAGCTGCGCTATAAACGGCAGCCGTCGCTCCAACTCTCCCATGACTTGTAGTTCGCGTCTTTAAGTGACGATGGATACGACCGACTGGAAACTGAAGCCCAGCACGGGCTGATCGAGATACTGCTTTGGCTTTAGCCTTTCCAGAATCCTTTCCAGCTTTACCACCAGGCATCTTGATAGTCAAATTCCGTGTTCAAGCGAAGTAAAAAAAAATACTCAGAAAACATCTAAAACCAAAATTCATTGTCGTATTATAATTATGCGTACTAAATTGAAATGATGTCTCGCACCTCTTAAAAATATTGTCAAATAAAAACTATTCTTTTCGTCTTTAAAATACATTTAAGTTATAATTAATGTAAAGTTTATAAAAAAAATTGTTGAGGCATATATTAATACAACCTTTATAAAGTGTTTGTAAAAATGTTAATTATTGAAATATTTCCTGTTTTAATTTTGTTTTTATGCATTCGTGAATGCTTTAGACAAAAATTGGACAATATTTTAAGTTATAGCCCTTTACACTAGTAAAAAAAAAAAATTCCGCACAAGCAATATTACGAGGAAAACAGTAACAGTAGTAACACCACTCCGATTCCATTTTTATTCACAACACTGCAATATTTTGATCGTTGATTATTAAAATCATATAGGGTATACGATTTATGAAACTTTTTGAAAAAAAAATGAATGTATTGTACCTAAGTAAGCTGACAATGGGCTTAAAGAATTTTTTTTTTTTTGTTTTTTTTTTTTTTTTGCAGCCCCGAGGGTCGTGTTTTTGTGTTTGGTCGAAGTGGTGACGTCATTTCTAGAGGTAAAAACATGTTAACTGGGAATATCTACAAAAGTGTGTCTTATGCCCCGGTTATAGATAGATGTATTTATCTCAGACATATATTTTAGGCATTTGACTAACCTACCCTTATTGTACTAATTTACCCTTAAAATTTTAGGCTTTTTCACTGAAATCCTTTAATATTTTAGAAATTACACTAACCTAACTTAATATTTAAGGCATTGTACTAATATCCTATGATATTTTAGGCATTGTACTAATATCCCATCATAATTTAGGCATAGTTCTACCATCCCATAATATTTTAGGCATTGTACTAATATCCCATAATATTTTAAACATTGTACATCCCATAATATTTTAGGCATTGTACCATCCCATAATATTTTAGGTATTGTACAACCATCCTATAGTATTTTAGGCATTGTACTAATACCCCATAATATTTTAGGCATTGTACTAACATCCCATAATATTTTAGGCATTGTACTAACATCCCATAATATTTTAGGCATTGTACTAACATCCCATAATATTTTAGGCATTGTACTAACATCCCATAATATTTTAGGCATTGTACTAACATCCCATACTATTTTAGGCATTGTACTAACATCCCATAATATTTTAGGCATTGTACTAACATCCCATAATATTTTAGGCATTGTACTAACATCCCATACTATTTTAGGCATTGTACTAACATCCCATAATATTTTAGGCATTGTACTAACATCGCATAATATTTTAGGCATTGTACTAACATCCCATAATATTTTAGGCATTGTACTAACATCCCATAATATTTTAGGCATTGTACTAACATCCCATAATATTTTAGGCATTGTACTAATATCCCATAATCTTTTAGGCATTGTACTAGCATCCCATAATATTTTAGGCATTGTACTAACATCCCATAATATTTTAGGCATTGTACTAACATTCCATAATATTTTAGGCATTGTACTACCATCCCATAATATTTTAGGCATTGTACTATCCCATATTATTTTAGGCATTGTACTAACATCCCATAATATTTTAGGCATTGTACTAACATCCCATAATATTTTAGGCATTGTACTAACATCCCATAATATTTTAGGCATTGTACTAACATCCCATAATATTTTAGGCATTGTACTAACATCCCATAATATTTTAGGCATTGTACTAACATCCCATAATATTTTAGGCATTGTACTAACATCCCATACTATTTTAGGCATTGTACTAACATCCCATAATATTTTAGGCATTGTACTAACATCCCATAATATTTTAGGCATTGTACTAACATCGCATAATATTTTAGGCATTGTACTAACATCCCATAATATTTTAGGCATTGTACTAACATCCCATAATAGTTTAGGCATTGTACTAACATCCCATAATATTTTAGGCATTGTACTAATATCCCATAATATTTTAGGCATTGTACTAACATCCCATAATATTTTAGGCATTGTACTAACATCCCATAATATTTTAGGCATTGTACTAACATTCCATAATATTTTAGGCATTGTACTACCATCCCATAATATTTTAGGCATTGTACTATCCCATATTATTTTAGGCATTGTACTAACATCCCATAATATTTTAGGCATTGTACTAACATCCCATAATATTTTAGGCATTGTACTAACATCCCATAATATTTTAGGCATTGTACTAACTTACCCAGCGTGGGTCGAGAAACCAATCAGCTCTCACCCGGAAGTACTCGAGATCATGGCGGTTCCTGTCCCAGACGACATCAACGTGGAGAACATCTGCGCATGCGTGGTCAAAAAACCCGGAAGTGATCTGACGGAGACGGCCGTGAAGCAACTGGTCAAGGATAGCATGACGTCAGACGGCTCCTATTACATCACCGTCGATCACGTGATGTTCTTCGATGAGGCCCTCCCCAAACTGTCCAGGAAAAAACTTGGCCAGCTGGCCGCTGTTCGACTTGGCTTGTTGGCCATCTGATTGTTGGCCATCTGATTGTTGGCTATCTGATTGTTGGCCATCTGATTGTTGGCCATCTGATTGTTGGCCATCTGATTGTTGGCCATCTGATTGTTGGCCATCTGATTGTTGGCCATCTGATTGTTGGCCATCTGATTGTTGGCCATCTGATTGTTGGCCATCTGATTGTTGGCCATCTGATTGTTGGCCATCTGAAATGTAAAAGATCTGCTTTAAGGTTTACATTATCTGCAATATAAAAGATCTGTATCAAGGTTTACATAGCTTAAAAAGGCTATTAAATTATTTTTCAAAAAATGTTTCTTAGTAAAGGTTAGTTGTTTCCTTTCTTGTGTCACATCTTAGCTAAAAACTGTTTTCAACAACGCTTAAAGCTGTTACTAAAACTAACCAAAAACTGTTTTCAACAACACTTAAAAGTTTTAGTAATTGCAAGCATATGCTGCGGTGTTGATGACTGCGTGAAGTATTTCTACTGGAGAAACTCTGTGAGGTGAGGTCGCAACTCGCTGGTTAAAGAGTATAAAACTCAACATATATATATGTTTATATGTATGTATATATATATATATATATATATATATATATATATATATATATATATATATAGAGAGAGAGAGAGAGAGAGAGAGAGAGAGAGAGAGAGAGAGAGAGAGAGAGAGAGAGAGAGAGAGAGAGAGTAATAAAGTAAAGGGGTCTACTTGTATAGATATGCACCGGAACTCCAACAATTTCTTTCAGGCATTTCTCTCTTTCCCCAACCGCCGACGCACGTCCAACTCCACCTCCCCCCCCCCCCACCTTTTCCTCCAGACGAACGAAATAACCCCCTCCCCCACCCCCATGGAGAAAAATGTTTGTGTTCAAATACTGTAAAAATGAGGTAGCATTAATACCCATTTAGGGCTAATTTTTATACCTTAAAGCAAGATAATCTTGTGCGAATTATCTGTTTTAAAACTTTGGCTTATTGTTTAATGTCTTCCTACGTGAAAGTTTAGAAAAAAAATCTCTTAATATAGCCTACATTGTAATTTATTTTTCACTACTAAAATGTATATATCATTACGCTGGTGTTATTTTGTTTTCCTCGTAATATTGGTTGTGCGGAATTTTTATTTTACTATTGTAAAGGTATATAACCTAAAATATAGTCCAATTTTTGTCTAAGGCATTCATAGATTCATAAAAACCAAACAAAAACATGAACTATTTCAATATTTAACATTAAGAACAAACACTTTGTAAAGATAATATTAATTTGTGCCTGAACATTTTTTTTTATAAACTCAATATTAATTTTTACTTAAACGTATTATAAGGACTAAAGGAATAGTTTTTATTAGACAATATTTTAAGAGTTGCGAGACATTCTAATCTATTGCTTTCCGTCAAAGAGGTTAGGAATGTTTACATATTGTACTGTCAATTTTATGTCATGGAAAGTTTTGGAATGATAGATCAGTATGTGTACTGCAGAGACACTTCTCCCAAGGTCGTTTCTATTTCTGTCCATGGGTGGCTACAATGTGAACTTTTGACTCCTCAGCTAAGGACAAAGCACAGTAAGCTAAGCAGTCAAGAGAAACCTAGTTTGCACACCTTATTTTAGTCTAGTTCTTATGCCATTTTATTTTCACCATCTGATTATTATATATGCAATTGATGTTCATGTCTTTGATGCTGTGAAAAATCTATCAAATATATTATTATTACTGATTTAAATGTAAAAAAACAAATGAATTAATAAAAAAAAGAACTGTTTGAGGACTGTACAGATATAGATGTTTGAAAGGGAAGAATGTTTGCTTTGATGTGTCTCATTGTAATAACACAACTTTTCCGATTGCTTAATCATTTAATTACACATTTGCATTTTCAGTTTCAGGTTGGTTTTTAATTTTTATTTTTTGTTTATATTTAGACGTTTTGTATTAGATCTATGTATAAGTAAACCATCTTAAATGAATGAAAGCAGGCTACAAATAAGAAAGAAATATTACTATTGTAAATCTGTATCAGTCCTCACAAGCCGATGATGAAAACTGTAATACTACAGCGAACACATAACTGACGCTATAAATTACTTATCTGGGGCGAAAAAAAAAAAAAAAATTAAAGCACTCGCACAAATTATGTGTTGTTGTAACATATTTTAAAAAAAGAAATAAAAACTAAGAATTGTAATGTTTTCTAATTTCTAAAATAAATTTTAAAAAACTTAAACTTTCATAGTAAGAAAAAAAAACTTCGATGGGTCTAGATTCTAGATCAGGGGTCG